ATGGAAGGCCTTGGCAGCTCTTTTAGACTCCCTCTGCTCCTCCAGAAAGTCTGAAGATGTAATAAGTCAGAATAGTATGTTTCTGTAACTCTAGTCGTCAGTTTTCAGATCTAAGAAGTCTAAAATAGTTTACGATTAATTAGGATTTCTACCACTTGATTCCTTTTGAGGCTTTTCATCACAGTGCTAGGAAAATGATGCACCTTTAGAAAGAAATGTAAAGCTCAATGAATGTTAGATTTGTGTCCTATCTGATAACCAGTGGTTCCCAGATTACTACAAGACCAGAAGTGCCCTTCGGATTGACTGAAAGCCTTCTCATAGAAACTGTTAAAATTGTATGTCTCAGAATGTTGACTCTGTTTCAGAATGTTCCCTGTATATTTGACCAAAGTTGTTCTGTCCAAAGCCCGCTAAAGTGAATAAAGGTCCAGAACAGTTTGGAAAGGGAGACAACCCAGCTGTGTCTGTTTCATTTTAGTGGAAAACTAGGTACAGTGATTTTTGGTGTGTGATCAAATAGTTTTGTAATTGTATTTACATTTGGATCTTCTTTTAAACATCTGTGTATCCCATCACCTTCCACAGTAACTGGCATATATACTAAACTCAATAAATATGTGGTGGCTGGAAAAAAAATACATAAAATGTAAGCTTTTAGAACCAATATAATACAATTCTGCATAAAGAAAATATTAATAATTTTTCCACTCTGTGATGGTTCAATTTTGTATCAACTTGGCGAGGCTAGGTGCCTAGTTGTACAGCAAACACTAGTCTAGATGTTACTATGAAGGTATTCTATAGATGTTGAATAACATCTGCAATCAGTTGACTTTAAGATTATACTCCATAATATGAGTGGGCCTCATTCAATCACTTACAGGATTTAAGGGGAAAAACCAAGGTTTCCCAGAGAGGAATTCTGACTCAAGACTGTAATATAGAAATCCTGCTGAGTTTCCAGTCTGCTAACCTGCCCTACTGCCCTAGATTTCATACTTACCAGTCCCCCACAATCACATGAGCCTAATCCTTAAAATAAATCATGTGTATACACACACACCTATTAGTTCTGTTTCTCTGGAGACCCCAAATGCACACCGTTTAAATTCATTCCCTACTTAGAAAAGTTTATGCTTTTTTTCTAAGAAATGAGATCATGCTATACATGGGAGTCTGCACCTCACCTTTTTCCTATTTTATAACGTGTCATGGACATCTTTCCAGGTCAGCAAGCTGAGATCTAACTCATTCTACTCATGTGCCACACAGTAAGCCATTATATGGATGGACTGTTTATTGAAGGGGGTGGACATGTAGACGTAGACGTTGTTTTCAGTTTTTTGCTCTCTATGCTTTTGGTTCCATTATCTGCATCAAGCTTTCAAGAAACAGATTTATACACAACCCTTGTCTTTTACTCCAATGCTTTGCTTCCAAATGATCTACTTATAATTTACTGAAAATTTACCTTATAGATTTTCCCAGCTAACATTTTAATAACAAATAGCCTGGATTTAAAGCCAAATGTGTTTAACAGGTGCAATGATCAAAGTGTAAGTTCTATTCAGGCATTTGAGACACACTATCAGCCAGCTGTTCTCACTAACCTTCATACAAAGTCAATCATGTATGGGTATGTCATTTAATCTCTTAGGTAGGAGAACTGAAACAAAGTCTCCCTCTTTTTTCCAATTCAATTTTTTCAATAAACTACTATGCTTAATTCAAATGTTAAGAAAACAGGCACCTAGAAAATACTTTTAAGTAAAAAAAATTAATGAACCATGTTTGTATTTCATTTGCTGGCTATTTTATGCCAACCAGAGGTATCTCTGCCTGGTCTACAGTTAACCAAGGACCCTAGCTCCTGCCTCGAGCTAACATCAAATATTAGAAGGACTTGAAAGTTCAGGGCACTGATGTCATCACATTGGTGTTCTCAATCTCCACAGTGCCTTGCCAACCCAGTCCATGAAGCAAATTCACTGGCCTCTACTGACCTACAGAGTATTTCAGATAACAGGAAGTCACACAGGTATCCAGGCAATAAGATAATCCCAATAACTTCTCTAGGCAGAGAGGAATGTCTGCAGCCACTTTAACAAATGCTATTTCTACTCCAGCCTTCCGGACTCTCTGCAGCGTGTCTTAGTTCAAATGTTTCTATTTATCTGAAATAACCACAAATCAATTTTGTAATTATATATTACTCCAGTTTATTAAATAATGAAACAAGGTTTATGCCACATATTCCAACAATGTTTAAATAAAGAGCTTGAAATATAAAGGCTTATGAAAACTTTATAATTTTTATATGATATATACTATTTCTAGCCCAAGAATAAATATAGAGCATAGGAGGCATTTTTTATACCACAGATCAGCAACATTTAGCATCAATGATACACATACCCACAAGCAAACAAAAAAAATCTATTTTTTTTCATTTAGGTCGTAAAAACTAAAAATCCTTTTGCCATATTTAAGTACTATACAAGGGGGCAGGGAGACTTATAGCCACATCCCTGAAAACAAGGGGAGCAAGTATGCTAGGTCCTTAAGTTCTTTCTTGGTTAGAAGCTTCAACAATTAACACTAACTCTCTCAGAAAGCAGAAAAAAAACAAAACAGGTTAAGATCTTGTTTTATAAAGTGTTTAATAAATTTACACTGAAGAAATACTGTATTTTTCTCTTCAAAACATAATTTTACAGTGAGCTTTGAATTTTTTTCATTCTGGTATGATATACACAATTTTAATAAATCAATATAATGAATATTGCATGACATTTACTCTTAGAAATGATATGTACACTTAAAAAAGAAAATGTTTTCTACATTAAAAAAGTGGTTCATAAGTAATTATTTCTCAAGGAACTCAAAACTGAAAGCCTTTCTATAGAAAGCCCTAAACACATCATGGAATGTTTTGGTAAGAAAAATTTCCTCTTTATGAAGATATGGTTCAGTACCAGGAGTGAGAACTGAGCAAGTTTAGCTCTCCAGAGTCACCTCTAGAGGGTGCCAGGGAGATCTGGACTTTCATCTTAGTCTTGAAGCAATTCACATCTACTTGCTACTCCACCACCCTTCATTCTTCCCTTCTCTTTTTACCCCANATTGCATGACATTTACTCTTAGAAATGATATGTACACTTAAAAAAGAAAATGTTTTCTACATTAAAAAAGTGGTTCATAAGTAATTATTTCTCAAGGAACTCAAAACTGAAAGCCTTTCTATAGAAAGCCCTAAACACATCATGGAATGTTTTGGTAAGAAAAATTTCCTCTTTATGAAGATATGGTTCAGTACCAGGAGTGAGAACTGAGCAAGTTTAGCTCTCCAGAGTCACCTCTAGAGGGTGCCAGGGAGATCTGGACTTTCATCTTAGTCTTGAAGCAATTCACATCTACTTGCTACTCCACCACCCTTCATTCTTCCCTTCTCTTTTTTCCCCAAGAAATATGTTTTTATTGATTTTTAGATAGAGAGGAAGGGAGAGGGAGAGAGAGATAGAAACATCAGTGAGGGAGAAACATCAATCAGCTGCCTTCCGAATGGCCCCTACTAGGGATGGAGTCCACAACCTGGGAATGTGCCCTGACCGGGAATCAAACCAGTGACCTCTTGGTGCATGAGACGACACTCAATGCACTGAGCCACACCGCCCAGACTCTTCACTTCTCTTTTTAATGACTTGGTCTTACCTCTTATTTTTGGAAAAAAATTCTGCCTCACAAAATTTTTAAAATCAACATTAATAAAGAAGGTGAAAGTGACTGGAAGGAAATATGACCAATCCACAAGAAACACCTGTGTTCCTTCTACTGCACTTCAAGGAAGGAAGCAGCCCAGGATCTAGACAAACTGGAACAGAAATGTCTGCAGAAGTGTGTACCCTAGAGCCCCCGTTAGTATGTATTTAATGTTCTCAAAGGGTAGAACACAAGGTACCCAAGTACATAGATATATTCTCTATCCTGGGGCTGTCTTGCAGAAGTGTCAAGTTCTTGGGGCTATCAGAGTCACTTTTTACTTTGAAAAGAGTAAGATGAAGATAAGAAAGAAGAAGAAGAATGATTTATCTTGTCTTCAGAAGAGAAGGAAGACACACCTCTTATCAGAAACTAGATAAACAGGCGCAGTATGAAAGAAATAGTTTCTAAAATTTCAAGCAAGTTATTTTCCATTCAAGCTAAGTAGGAAATATTTTAACAAACATGACCCGAACTAAAGTAAAAAGTAGGAAATCTGGAAAAATCAACTTTTCAATTCACTTGCAACATTTTGCTAAGGAAAACATAATAAAACCTTAACTTATACAGTGTTCTTTTTTCACAAGGCCTTTAACAGGATTCACTCAGAATTATGAGCAAGTCCATGATAAAATGACTCTCTGCCACACACAAAGACTGTACATTCTCAGATTGCAGCTGTATGACAGCATGTAAACACCCTTACCAAACAAGTCCAGTAGTAGCAACTAGTATTTTCTTCATTTGACCCTCAACTTCTGTAGATGTTATTATCCCCATTTCCAGATTGGGAAATAAACTTTGCTAAAAGTCATAGAACAAATTACTAACATGACCTAAGACAGAGCCCAAGCTGCTTGAAACACCTCCCATCAACATAGACAACTGCCACCTTCACAGACAACATGATATTAATACTTTGTAACAATTCCTCACAAAGGTCAAGTCTTCAAAGGCTTAAAGTCACTTATTATAAGTGAAAGATCCTGCCAAAATAGGAAATTATAAAGCAGTGCAATACTCCAGGGCTCTATTTCCTGCACTGTTGGGTGATACCTAAGGCTGAAACGTCTAGGTCTCCACATTTGAGATTTCTTCAGCTGACAAGCAGCAGAAGCCTCCAAGTTCAGGAACAATAATACCCTGTTGGAGGCTCGATCCACGGTTCCAGTGAGCTTCTTCAGAGCAGTCTGGTACTCTCAGCTATGAGCTGAGATGCATCAGGTGCTACTCTCCCCTGAAGAAAACAGTTCACAGTTCCTGATCTTCTTGCAAGTTTTCTTTAACAAAAACATGCATTGCACATTATCTTTGACGTTGAAGGGCACTTTGATGGTAAGGACTAGTGTCTGAATGTTACGGTTGATGCCATTAAATGTTTGACGCAGACTGCCGGATGCCAACACACAGCAGTCTGAACTAACCCAGTCTTCATCTGTTGCTCACACCCCAGAATCCATGACGAGTCAAGCAGTGAGAAGCAGTGAGAAGCAGTGGGAAACACAGGAAGCTTTGCTGTTTTGGAAGTTAGCATTTTCAGAGGCATGTCTCATGCAGCCCTGACTTGTCATAAATCCAATTTCTTCAACTGCTCGTATGTCACAAAGAACTACAGTTATCAGTTAAGGCTGGCAAAGATACCATCTGAACCCTAACACATAAAAACAGATCTACAAATAGCAAACCTACAAGCAAATACATCTGGGAAGACCACATGCCATGAACATGATTAACTACGAGGGGCTCCATCCTAACCATCCCAAGAGATCTACCCATTAGCCTTCCCAAAGTCAGCTTGGAACAGAAAGATCACAGCTGAGATATATAAATCCCCCAGCAACAGCTCTGGGAGTTTTTTCTAAGATTACACCCACACTGCCTAGCTTTTGTGACTTTATTGTGCTGAGAAGACTTTACTGAACTCTAAGTTCTGTATGAAAGAGAAACACAGCAAGCCCTGGGAAGCTCTCCTCCAGGGTTTCTGCTGGGCAGGCCTCCATAGAGGGGAGGCACAGATAAAGAGAAACAAGAAGATGGTGACACCAATATTCCCTACCTTATAATTCTGCCCTTTCATGTCTAATAAACTGCCACTTCTTTCCTACCTCCCACTTTGGGATATAGGAAATAGTGCTGAAAGGCCCAATAATTCTAGAGCTAATAACTGTTTATCTTTAGGCACTCTCTAAAATAACACTGCAGCCAAACCACATCCTTCCCACCGGTGGCTGGGGAAATAAAACCAATCCTGCTCTCTCTGAAATTTTAAGTACTCTCAGCTTTTAGAACAGAGTCTAAATAAAACTTTTTATTGATATCATTACCTTTCAATAACACCATCATTGAATCAAGATTCATAGGGCCTAGCACAGACTTTATACCTCCTGAAAAAGAAACTGAAGTTATTTCTTGAATCAGAGGAACATAAAAGACTAAAAACCTTCTAAATTATAATAACATGATAGTTTACACAAACAATATTCTTTTAGCTATATCTTTTTTCAGATCTCCTGCAACAGAAAAGGATACAATGATATTCCAAGGACCAAGTCTCAACCAATTTGGCCAAAACCCTTTATATAGAGCAAAAAATCCTTCTTTCTTCCATGTCTGTTATAAGGGGAGAAAAAAAACTTAACTTCCAACTTTCCACTTATGTCAAATGCATTAATAATAGTATCCTGACTGAACCAATCTATTTTTCTTAAAAATAAAATCCCGTCTGCAAGGACTAAGAAATCATTGCCCTCTGCCTCTTTTTGGTCTTTAAAGGTTTCTGCATAAGTGACTCAAGACTAAGGCTCTATGTCAAACCATCCCAAACCCAAAGCAGGAAAACAACAATTGAATGAATAAGAAATGAGATTTAATTCCAACCAGAATCTTTTGCCTCTTTTCCATCTGAGTCCACAAACAACTCAGGGATAAAGAAACAAAGCAATGGTGGTAAAAATATAACTCAGAGCACCACTATTTCATGTTGTTGGATGAATTACAAATAAGTATCTTTGCTTCATTAGAGCAATACTTAAAGTCTAGAATGTGCCAGCATCATGCTGGAAAATTAAGACCACAAAAGTGGCCCCTAATCTTTGGCTGCTGGCAATCTAGTAGGGGAGACAGTGGCAAACTTCTGTCCTCTCGTGAGCAATAGGCCCTATTTTTTAAACTAAGAATTACGGTAAGATTGATGTGTTCCTTTGTGAGATGTCTGAATGACAGACACTCATTCCACTTTGACTCAACACAAAAGATATATATTTTGGAAGGAGACACAATTCTACTATGATCACAGAAAATATGATTTTTCACCATTCACAGCAGAGCAAAGGTATAAAGAAAATGAGCTTTCATTTCTAAACATTCATCTTGATTTTGTATTTACAAAAGTTAGCACATGTGGCAAAAACTGTTTATCACTCCAGGGCTTTAGAGCATCACTCATCTTAGTTGCAATAGCCTCAAAGTTTAGTTACTTCTTAGGTTAAGTAAATAAACAGTATGTAAGTATAAACACATAAATTTGGGGCACAGTTTCATTGATTGAAGCAATCACTAGAATGTTGAAGATTAAGAAAAATAAACTTGTTTATTTCACAATACTGTCCCTTATTATTATGAATTATACTAACAGGGCTTACCACATTATTCTAGGCACTATGCTGTTTTGAAGGCATTATCTTAATTATTTTTACAATAATCCTATGATACAGGTGCTATTATTGTCCCATTTCACTTATGAGGAAACTGAAGTATAGAATCTGTATCTTGACCAAAGTCACACAATTACAAGTAACAGACCCACAGGTCTATCTTGCTATAAACCCTGTGTTTTTAAATCATGATAAGAAACATGATAAGTGGGTCAGATGGAAGCTAATGAGCTAAGAAAGGAATTCCCAACGCTACAAAGATGGACATTCATTCTCACCTGTAACAAGCAATCCAGGGTACCTGTGTACCCAGAGCATCTGCCATCACGAAGGTCTCTCTGATTCATCATACGTGTTCTCACAACATCCACAGGGTTGGAGGCCAGTGCCCCAGCCAGACCACAGGCGAAGCTTGAACTATGAAGAAAATACCATTGAAAAACATAAAGGTCACCACCACCACTATCAAAGGCAGGAAACAGCTTCCTCCCAAACTGTGTTAAAGTAACATGTAATAAGGAGACATATATCAAAAATGAGGACCATATCTAGGGAGCTACACAAACTTCTTAAACACCAGCACTGATTATACTGGCTTATAAATTCCACCCTCAGCTAAGCATACCTTTTAGGTTCTGAAATGTCAAAGAATCATAGAACATGAAGGAACATCCTCCAAGGATGGTCTACTGTAGCTATTTTCAACTTTACTCATCTAATGGCACACATAAAATTCTGCAGCACACCAAAAAATATATTATATTATATTATATTTTATATTATATTATATTAATTATATTATATTATATTATATTATATTATATTATATTATATTATATTATATATTAAATATATAAATAGGTATAATTTTGATTCATTCACACCGGACAGCTAATGTTGTACTGGCTGTTGTCATTTTTTTATTTGACAATCTAAGGGAATGGAGGTCAGTGCCCCTGACTAAACAATCAGGTACTGCATGTTCTAAAAATTCTTGTGGCACACCAGTTGAAAATTGCTGACCTACTGCATCTATTCACCTACAGGTAGATATCAGAGTAACTTTAGCCATATCATAACCACATTTTTCTTCAAGATCAGAGTAAAAGATTTCCTCACTGTAATGTCCACCAGGGTCTTAGGTTCTACTAAACTTTCAGTCTCATAAGACTGCCACACACCACACTTGTATCAATTAACTCAGAGCAGCATTTCTCAACTTTAGCACTACTAAGATTTTGAATCAGATAATTCTTCGCTGTGTAGGTCGGTCTTATTGAAAGATGTTTAGCAGCTCCTTGGCCAACAGTACTCCCCTAGTCACAACTATAGGAACAGTCTCCAGTCTCCACTGCCAAATGTCCCCAATGGGCTAAATCACTCCTCAATGGATTAAACTATGATACATCCATAATGATCTGCAGCCACTGAAAATAAATGAAGTTTGTTTGTACTGCTATGGAAAGATATTTGAAAGCTACTATTAAATTTTAAAAAGCAAATAAGCAAGCCCTGGCCAGGTGGCTCAACCAGTTGGAGCATTGTCCAACACACTAAAAGGTTGTGGGTTCGAATCCCAATCAGGGCACATACCTAGGTTGTGAGTTAGATCCCCAGCTGGGGCCAGTACAGGAGGCAACCAATCAATGTTTCTCTCTTACATCAATGTTTCTCTCTCTCTCTCTCGCTCTCAAATAAATCAATAAAAAACATATCCTTGGATGAGGATTAAAAAGTAAGAAAGGCAACTACTGCATAGTATCACTTATATGAGGAATTTAAAAACAAACAAACAAAACCTAGTCAAACTCACAGAAACAAAGAGTAGAAAAGTGGTTGCCAGGGGTTAGGGGGTGGGGGAAACAGGGAGACAGTAAAAGGGTACAAACTTTCAGCTGTAAGATGAATAAGGTCTAATGTGTAACATGGTGACTACAGTTGATAACACTGCACTGTATAATTGAAATCTGCTAAGAGAATAGAACTGAAATGTTTTCACACACACACAAAAGGGTAAACATGTGAGGCGATAGATATGCTAATTAAGTTGATGGGAAGAATCCTTTCACAATGTATACATATTAAATCATCACATTGTACACTTCAAATATCTTCCAGTTTTACATGTTAATTGTGCCTCAATAAAGACGAAAAATAAAAATAATTTAAAAAATCAAGGAAGGGAATGCAAAGCATAATCTTTGCATAATAAAGTACATGTAATATACTTTTATAGAAATATTTGCATATGCATAAAAATGCCTGAAAGGTATTTATTAAGTTGTTAACAACTGCTACCTATGTAAAGGGATAAGGACTTTTCCTTTTTCCTGGTTCATTTCTGTAATGTAATTTTTCAAATATGAGCATACAGTATTTTTATAATAAGCTTTAAAATTTCTACAAATCTGTAGCAAATTTCTACCCTAAACTCATGCGTATCTAAAATATTAATTTAAAAATCCATAAACATACAGGAAGTGAGTATACACAGTGTCTCCCATCAGGCCTGAGAGAATCAGATGCTTCTTAGTGAGGTCGTAGACTGGTAGCTCCACACCAACAACGATAGCGGCCCTCTGAGCAGTAAGGGACACGCCCTGAGTAAAAACATTAATAACAGAGATTCAGACATCTGTCCTGCTGGTGGGTAGAAATATACAGACACAGTAGAAAAAAACAGAGTGTAAAAAGTCAGACGCTCCAAAGTTAAATTCTGATTTTGTCACTAACTGTACGACCTTGGCCAGACCTTGGCCAGGACAGTAACCTCTCAGAGCCTCCAGTTTCCTTGTACAGACAGTATTGTACTGGGTGACCATTAGGGTCTATTCTAGCAACTGGCAAGTCATTAGAATACTAAAAAAAGCTAATTAACAATCTTCACTTAAAAGGCATGAAACCACATATATCAAAAAATTCAACGAATCTGGGAACTAGAAATCCCTTCTCCATAAGAACTTAAAAAAAAAAAAAAGCAAGCAAACAAACAAAAAAGTGTTCAACTTTCACAGAATTTCTTATATATGAATTATTCAAAAGATATTTTCAAATCATGACATATTCCTTAAATTTCCATTTTACAGATAAAATATCTTCAGGGGCAGATGTCACTCTTCTTCCCTTACTCCATTATACCATTTGGATTAAATAAAATGATGGACATAGAAAAAAAATAAATTCAAAAAGGAAAAAAAGAACTAAATATTTGGATACATTTTCAAGCTTACCTTCCACAGTCCTCTTGTTCCCTCTTGCTGATAAATGTTAATGAAGTTGCCTATCATTCCTCCTTGAATGACGTTGCTCTGTGCTTGCATTCTTATCTAGAAATTATTTTAAAAACATGAGAAAGAAACTATCACATTTCTCCCCAAATACAGACCTCTGAAAAATCACCCAATCTCTTATTTAATAACCATTAAAAGAAAAAAACTATAATGATAAATATTACTATAAGGGTAGTTTAAAATATCCTCAGTAGACTAAAATATATATGGATTGGTTCTTAGGCACTTTGGATTCAACAAAGAGCATCGAAAAGAGTCTAGAACATCTTGCATATAATAAATAGCTCACTAAGTGTCAAAAAGAAATTAGTTTTTTAAAATGGTCTTTGAAAAGACTATTTTTTTTAAAATGGCTTTTTCCCCTATAGGTTACTAAGTAGGAAGGAGAGAATATGATGGTAATTCTAAAAATTTAGCATTATTGGTAAGAGTATCCAGTGTACTTGGCAACACTAAGCAAGAACAAACATATTTCTTTAGTTACTCCAACCCACTATTATTTTCAACCCTCTGAACCAAAAGGTATGCCGGCGAGTTTGCCAGGGGACAGTCACATGATGCCTGTCACACTCGGTTACACTTGAACTTACATATGAACTTTACAACAGCCACAGTATTCACATGACCAAGATTCCAACATAAAAATAATGTTTCAGGTAGCACTCTGCATTTTTAATGAAAAGATATTTCTTACTAAAAAATATGTACCTTATTTTGGTTTAGGGAGCAAATACATTACCTCTAACTTCTTAAAAGGAACAGTTATTGCCATGCTAACAAGTGAAAACAAACCAAAATATAGGAACTGCCTTCCTGGAGCCTTGATATGTGTTTAAGAGATTAACAGAAGTACAGGTATTTTTCTCCAGCAATCTTACCCCAACATTGGGTAAAATTATGGTAAGGGTGCCTTCCCACACTGTCCCCTCACCATGCATAACTGTAAAGTACTCAACGTGCTGCTGCTAAAGTTTTGATGCTGTCAGAATCTCTTATCAGATTGAAGACTCCTAGGGCAGGGTCTCTGTCTTACTCATTTTTGGATTCTAAACACCAAAAGTACTCCAATTGGCACAAGGAACAAGCATAGTGAATTCTGGTTAAATAATATGGGGAAAAAAGGAGACAGAGGGAGAAACAGGAGTATCTTAGAGGGTTCAAAAAGTAACTCATGAGGTGAGAGACAAGATGGCAGCGTAGGTACCTGCGGTACCCGCCTCCTCCCACAACCACATCAAAACTACAACTAAAATAGAGAACAACCTTCACTCTGAACCTCCTGAAATCTAGCTGAACAGAAGCCCTACAACAAGGGAACTGAAGAAGCATCAAGACCAGTAGGAGGGGCGGAGATTCGGGGCAGATCTGGGCTGAATCATGGAGATGCCGCCAAGGGCCCACACCCGGTGCTTTGGTTTAAACCTGGGAGGGACACCTCGGTGGTGGAGGTTTCCCGGAGGAGTGAGGGGTCCCAGCCCCACAGCAGGCCCCCAGCTCAGGGCTTCAGGGCTGGGAAGAAAAGTCCCACAACTTCAGGCTGTGAAAACCAGCGGAGACTGTCACTGACAGACGCAGAGGCTGCAGGAGTCCCAGGCTTTCCTCATAAAGGGCCGGCACATGGACTCACTCAGACTCACACCCTCTCAGCTCTGACTCTGGGCAGCAGCTTGAAAGGAACTTGGGACATTCAGGGAGGAGCTAACTTGCCTGAAATCAGGGTGAGAGGTGGAGGGGCAGCTTTCTCCCAGAGAGAAGAGCGGGCAGAGGCCATTGCTCCTATGGCGAGTCCTTTCCCCACATAGCTGGCAGGCAGGTGCCGTATCTGAATCGCCATCAACCTGACTCAGGCCTTTGGCCCCGCCCTGGTGATTCCTGGAGACCCCACCCCTCCCTACTTACAAGTTCATGAAAGCCATTTCCAGTGGCTTTTCTATGCAATTGGCCTCTCTAGCCTCATGCTTAGGACTTTACTAAAATGTCTCAAACAAGCAGCAGCTGGCTTCAGCATGCCCCATACCTCTTAATAAGTGGCCCCAGGCCTGGCACTAGTGGCAGGCTGGACTGGTTCATAGCTTGGCCTCTCCTGGACACCTCCAAGCCCAGCACAAGTAACAGCCATCTATGGTTTGCTGTGTAGCTCAAGCTGGGTGGCCCTGGGCAAGGAATAGGCAGAGGCTGACTTTGCACCTCCCAGGAGGCCCCAGAGACAGTGCACCCGGTGGTCAAACTCGACCAATTCCTCCCAGTGACGCAAACAGCAACCAAGGCTCAACTACAACAGGACAGTGCACACAGCCCACACAGGGGAGCACCTAGAAGGCCCAGCTCAGGTGACTGGGGAGGCTGAGCCACTGGACCCTCCTACAGGACGCTTACTACACAAAGCCACTCTACCAATTCCAGGAGACGTAGCTGCTCTACCTAATACATAGAGACAAACACCTGGAAACAGCCAAAATGTGGAGGCAAAGAAACATGTCACAAAGGAAAGAAGAGAAGAAATCTCTAGAAAAGGAACTAAATGAAATAGAGCCAAGCAAGCTACTAGATACAGAGTTCAAAATAATGGTTATAAGGATGCTCAAGGATCTCAGTAACACTATTAAGGAAACTAGTGAGATCATCAATGAAATAATAAAGTACCAATCAGAAATGAAGGCTACATGAACTAAAATGAAGAATAATTTTCAGGGAATCAGCAGTAGAGCAGAGGACATGGAGAATCAAATCAGCAATTTGGAATATGAGGAAACAAAAACACCCAATCAGAGCAACGAAAAGAAAAAGGAATCCAGAAATATGAAGATATTGTAAGGAGTCTCTGGGACAACTTCAAGCAGCCCAACATTCATATTATGGAAGTACCAGAAGGAGAGGAAAGAGAGCAAAAAATTGAAAACCTATTTGAAAAAATGACAGAAAACTTCCCCTACCTGGTGAAAGAAATAGACTTACATGTCCAGGAAGCATAGAGAGTCCCTAACAATCAACCCAAAGAGGCCCACAGCAAGACACATCATAATTAAAATGCCACAGGTTAAAGACAAAGAGAGAATCTTAAAAGCCACAGGAGAAAAGCAGTTAGTTACCTAGAAGGGAGCATCCATACAACTGTCAGCTGATTTCTCAACAGAAACTTTGTAGGGAGTGGCAAGAAATATTCAAAGTGATGAAAAGCAAGAAACTACCAAGATTGCTCTCTCAGCAAAGCTATCATTTAGAACTGAAGGTCAAATAAAGAGCTTCACAGATAAGAAAAAGCTAAAGGAGTTCATCACCCCCAAACCAGTACTACATGAAATGCTGAAGGGTCTTCTTTAAGAAGAAGCTAATGAAAAAAAGAATCTGACAAACTAGACCCAAAGATACTGAAGCGTGCAACGGACGGTCATATCTCAGAGGGAAGAGGGAAGGGGGCTGAAGGTGGGAAGAGATTAACCAAAGAGGTTATATGCATATATGCAAAACCCATTGGCACAGACAATAATGGGGTGAAGGCCTGGAGAGGGGGTGGGAACGAGGTGGAGAGGGTCAATGGGGGGAAAAAATGGGATACCTGTAATACTTTCAACAATAAAGATAAAAAAATTTTTTAAAGTAACTCATGACTAATTTTTATTTTATTTAATTAGTTTATTCCCTTGCCTTATTCCAGACAGGATTTAAGAATGCTATAATCCCTGGTATTGTCAACAGGGTTGTCTAATATGCTATGTCTAATTGTGGTTAAGTAAATATTTTCATCAGTATTTCCTGAAATAATGCATTCAGAAATGGTCATTAATAAGCATACTTCTATAAAACGTGAAGCCCATCTATTTTTTTTAATGAGCCAATAAAACAAGGGAGGTTTTCAATGAAAAATTCAAATGCATCCAAACCCAAATTTTTTTCTGCTTAATCACCAAAAAACTCTTCTCTAAAATGAGCTCTACTTTTGAGCTCATCTGTATCAGTGGGAAATCCACCTAGTGGATATTTATAAGTTAGTCTTGACAACACTTAAATTATAAACAGATTCACACATACACAGCAGCGTATGGTATATTTGCAGATTTTCATTATCTGAACATTGTTCTCAGTAAGAAAATGTGGATTGTGCCTAGAAGATACTAGGGGTACTGCTTACTTTCAAAACATCAGTTGGATTGGCAATGGCTGAGGATATGACTCCAGAGAGAATTCCACAGACCACATTTATTGGAAGGGTTTCATCTGTAAACAAAGACATTATGTAACTTTTCATACGTACAGAGCTTTTTATGTGAATAACAAATACAGGTGTAATTCATTTACATACCACTTGTTCCTCTTAAGAAAATAAAGAAATTTATGCCTTATGAATCAAGTAATTTCAAAAGGATTAGGAATTTTGTTGGCTAAAGGAATTTTACTTAGCAAAATTGCTTGCAATCTGAAAAGGAGTAATGAATTATCACACAAAGTGAGTAACCATCTACCAATTCACTTTTGTGTGTAAATGCAGACCGCTGTAGTAATTAAGATGAGGTATGTCTGGTAGGGGAATAAAAAAGACATATTCCTATGAGATAACATGCAGACAAAGTTTTAAAAAACATTTAATATATTTAATTTGAAGTATAACAAAGGACTTTCAAGGCATCTTAGCTCCTGTTCACCCCTCTCACAGAATAGCTAGCTGGTGCTTGCCCCTCTGTAAAAACAGATAACGTTCTACGGACAAAAGCAAAGTCAGAGTCAACCAGCAATAGAGTATTAGAACTCAGTTCTTAATACTAAGAAATGTATTCACTGTTTTTCTGAAATATAGGTGATAATTCCTATGATTTTAGAAAATTTTAAGTTGGCTAAAACTATAACATAGCCTCATAGTCTAGGCATTTTAGAGGTGAGGATAACTAATCAAAACATTTGCTCTTTTTAACTGTTATTCCCCTAGATTTAGCTGATAACTGACTTGCTATAAGCACAATTCATTTAGACTTCATACCTACAGTTCTCCTCAGCAGCAGTCAAGTCACAAGTAAATCTGATACAAAACCACTTGAATAAAAAAACCAACAACCCATCTCCTGTCCATAAGTGGAAAAAAGATTTCCCACTGACCTTCTGGGCGTTCCACAAATAATCGCTTCAAGCTCTGGTAAGTGCCTATCTTGATGGTGCCATAGGAAGCCTGGCGTAACATCGCAGGGGCAATCCTGTCAAACCAATGTACAAAGGGACAAAAATAATTCTAGAAGGCTCACATGCAGAGATACAATCACCCATTTGCCTTCCACAAACTACTCTAAAAAAGGTGTCTGAAAATTAAAAATCCAACAAAAACATAGTTTTTAAAAAATACATAGGTATAATCCAAAAAGGAAATAAACACTTGAGCATATTACTAGCTCACTAAGTGAAAGCTCAGCCCCTCATATTTAATCTCAGTGAAACTATAAGTGAACATGTGGCTCTATATGCCCATTCATGTTAAAATGTAAAAGCTTTCCTTTCTCAATATGATGCGCCTGGTGAAATCTGGCCTCTGGAAGCACCTATCGTTCTTGCACTGATGTTCTGGAGCTCACCTCCTACCTCCTTGGGGGCCATTTCAGTTATTTCCCCTCCTTCCCATTACCCTCCTTGACCCTAGAACCACCCTGTGGCATTTGTACTCCTAGCTCTCTTTCTGCACTTCCCACTTCTCAAAATGCAATCTGGCATCCCTCTACCTTCTCCATCAAAACAGGTGGCCAACTGACATCTGTGTTGCTAAATTAAATGATGCTTTTCAATTAGCGTCTTATATAACATCTTGCAGTATTTACTACCGTCCACCCTTTGTCTTTTTTTTTTTTTTTAATCCTCACCCGAGGACATTTTTTCCATTGCTTTTTCAGAGAGAGTGGAAGGGGGAGAGAGACAGCGAGGAACATTGATAGGTTGCCTCCTGCATACACCCGGACCAGGGCAAGCCTGCAACCGAGGTATGTGCCCTTGGTCAGAATCAAACCTGGAACCCTTCAGTCCACAGGCCAACACTCTAATCGCTGAGCCAAACTGGCTAGGTCAGTCCACCCTTTGTCTTACTTGCAGCTGTCTCTCCCTGAGCTGCCAGAATATCGCCCTCTCCTGTTTCTTTTCTTTTCTCTACAGCATCCTACCTGTCTTCTGGGGTTTCCCAGAATCTGTCCTATGCTTTTCATTTCCCCTTGCTCCACATATTGCCTGGGTGAGCTTATTTATTCCCATGACTTTAACTGATGATTCCTAAATTCATGTTTCCAACACTGATCCAAAGATACATTTCCAACTCCTTCCTAATGTCTCAATTCATACATAATATACCTACTTCCAAATCAAGTGATCCACACTGAACTAATTATCTTCCCTGTCTAAACAATCACCTCTCCTCTTCTGTTTCCTAGACAGGGAATGAAACTTCCATTCCATCTAGATAATGGCCAAAACCAGAAATCGAGACATTAGCTGTGTCTCCTCCTTCCCCACAAACTCCCTCATATATTAGGTCAAACGATATGTGAATCCTATGCCCTAACTAGCTTTCTAAGCTGTCTTCTTTTTCTCCATCTCCAAGACAACCCCCCAGATCAGATCCCTGTCATCTCTGCTTCCTACGTGATGACCTGTTTCCAGTGTTACTAGTCTCTAATTCTTTCTCCCCATGGCAGGCAGGCATCTTTTTACAATGGAACCTAATCATAGCAGTCCCTCTACTCAAAACCCTTCAGTGCCTCCTGTCTGCCACAGGTGTAGCAAACTCAAGTACTTACAGGTACTAGATAGAAGCCGTAGTGAGCAAAGTGGGCTGGATCTAACTGCACACATACACACACACTATGTGAGTGGCAGAGGTTTTGGAAAATCAGAGAAAGCATTGTTAACTGAAGTTACAATTATCATAAGTGAATGAACGTGGTCCCAGATGTTTTCTCTTGAGAAGATAGAATCTCAGGTTTTTATATACAGTTTCTCATATTTAAAAGTATTGGCTCAACTGAAAAGCAAAATCCTTCAGAGACTGGTGGGTGGGAGGACTGTGCACCAGTCTGTGATCTGTGGTATATGGGGCAAAATCCAGATGTTTAGCACGGCCTGAGGTTGTCCATGTCCTAACCCCTTATTAGCACTCCAACTCCATCTCTTGCTATTAACCTACTCCTACATGATATCCATGCTGAATTACTTGCAGTTTCTAGATGTGCCATGCTCTCTTGGCACATACTACTGGTTCTGTAGGAGTACAGTTTTTCTCTAACTTCACCTAGCTAACTCTTCTTGATCCTTCAAGATGAGTCAGTGTCTGCTGAATTAAACAGCTTTCCTGAAAACCCGCCTCCTCCCTTATCCCCACAGTCTAGGACTGATACCTCTATCAGACTCTAGTACTTACCAGACTCCACTGTAATCCCATGTGTGTCATCTGCAGCCCCCAGTAAACAATAGTTCCTTCGGGACAACATGCTGCTACTGATCCCTATTTGTTCCCCCAGATCCATTCTCACCCTTCTCTGTTCTGCTCTGTGCCCTGAGAGGCTGGTGTCTATGGACTACATCGCCCAGTCTCCTCTGTCAGCTGACTTTCAAGGGGATTCAGCCAGCAGAAGATGGGAGGG